GAGATGACGATTGTGATTTACCAGATGCCCCCGCTAGAGAGAGAGAGAGAGAGAGAGAGAGAGAGAGAGAGAGAGAGAGGGGGATGGAGAGGAGAATGGCAAGAGACCGGGGGAAGTGCGAGGGAGAAAGGGATGGCGAGAGGGACAGGGGGAGAGAAATCCCAGTGGGATGGTAATCTTCGGGCCACTCTGTTCTCTTCTTGGCGACACGCCTGCCATCACTTCAAGTCCCACTTGGGCCGTAGATGATTCTAAATCTTGTTACAAGAAAAAAAAAGAAGAAAAAAAAAAAAAAAAGATGACGAAATATTGACTGTCTGATACTACTACGCCCTTTGGGAGCTTCTTCTCGGTCATGTGCCTTTTCTTTTTTTTATCCCTTTGTGCCCAGCTCTGTCAATATTTTTTATCGCGCCTTGATCTAAATCAGGTCATCGCGACTTGATTAAGATCATTCTGTTATGTTGTCGTCTCTTCATATCTGGAGCTCCTCCCGTCAGTCTATTGCTATCATAGCTTTTTTATTTTTTATTTTTGATTTTAATCTCTAAACGCAAGTCGAAATCAAATGCAGAGTTGATGTTCACATCTGAATGATCTTAATCAAGTCGCGATGTCCGTCGATTTGGGCAACCAATCCTGTCCGTCGAGCCTTCTCTGACACATCAAGATGGTCATCAAAATGCTAATCAAGATGGTCATCAAGATGGTCAAGATGGTCATCAAGATGGTCATCAAGATGGTCAAGATGCTCATCAAGATGGTCATCAAGATGGTCAAGATGGTCATCAAGATGGTGAATGGATTGGTTAAAATAGGTAAATGGATCGATTAATCGTGGTAAATGGATTTGGATCAATCTCGGTTAACAATGAGCGGTCGGGTCGTTGGTTGATTTCTCCTTTACTGTTTTTTTACGTACGTATGGCCATCGTAAAGCATTAATTAATAATATTTAATATCACTTTGGGCATTTAACGGTTTTAACTTTGACATTTCTAGCCGCAATTTCGGGGGGTTAAATGCCCAAAGGGGGTCCGCAATTTG